TTGTTTTCTTGCAGATGTTTTGTTACCAAACTAGATAATGTCAGTGTTAGAAGGCAGTGGGGTTTGCAGAGAGGAGGAGGAGGAGGAGGAGGAGGAGGAGGAGGAGGAGGAGGAGGAAGAAGACGAAGAAGAAGAAGAAGAAGAAGAAGAAGAAGAAGAAGAAGAAGAAGAAGAAGAAGAAGAAGAAGAACAACAACAACAACAACAACAACAACAACAACAACAACTTCAGAGTCTTGTCCAGGCTGTTGCTAAGAGTCAACAAAACTGACTTGGCTCCAAAGCACAGATTACGTGATTAATGTTACAAGACACGCAGTTGAGCCTTAGCAAGATTCCCAAAGCAGCCAGCAGAGGGAGCTGTTGCACCAGGCCTGTGAAATGGACTGTTCCCGAGTACCAGACCACCAGCGCTTTTGGGAATAGCCATTGTCCATTTCTTGTTTCTCCCTTCCAAACGCACATCCTTCCTGGTGGAGGGAGTCAGCACCCCCCTGCCCTCCCCCAGCCCAGAGAATGAAATATTTGGGGGGAATATTAAAAGAGGCAGGATAGAATATTTCCCCTAAAGGAGAAATGGAGACAAAAATCTTAACAAAGGCAGCAAGCAGCCCCAGCCTCAAGAAAAAAAAAGAGGCCAGTCTTTAAGAGATTTTGTCTCCATTCAGAAAGACTGGGACATTCTGTTCATAAGCAAAGAACGGAGACTCCAGATAAGCAACACAATTTGGCAAACCAAAAGTTGACAAGATTTGCTCGGAGAAACACTAAGGATTTGCATTTCCCCCTTTCCCTATAGAGCCAGCCATGACCCCTACGTGACCCCATAGGAATCTGGCAACAGCCATTAGAATATTAAAGGACATTTTCTTTCACAGGAACAGGCATCCCAAATACAAAGCCCAAAGAAGGTGTAAAGTCCCACCTACTCTCGACTCCATTTTGTCAGCTGTCCCAGAACTGCATGCTGCTCTTGGTTCTGCTCATCATTAAAAGAGAAGAGCAACTAAAATGATCCAAGGCCTGGAGACCAAAACATATGAAGAACGGCTGCAGGACTTGGGCTTGGCTAGTCTAAAGAAAAGAAGAAATAGGGGAGACACGATAGCAGTATTCCAGTATTTGAGGGGCTGCCACAAAGAAGAGGGGGGTCAAACTATTCTCCAAAGCACCAGAGGGAAGGATAAGAAACAATGGTTGGAACTGACCAAAGAGAGAAGCAACCTGGAATGAAGGAGAAACTTCCTGAGAGTGAGGACAATTAACCAGTGGAACAGCTTGCCTCCAGAAATCATGGGCGCTCCATCACTGGAGGTATTTAAAAAGAAACTGGACAGCCACTTGTCTGAAATGGTATAGGTTCTCCTGCTTGAGCAGGGGGCTGGATTAGAAGACCTCCAAGGTCCCTTCCAGCTCTATTCTATTCTATTCTATTCTATTCTATTCTATTCTATTCTATTCTATTCTATTCTATTCTATTCTATTCTATTCTATTAAAAACCTTCTTTCCTAAAAAGCCAGCCTCCATTTTATTTCCAGCAGCCTCCATTTTATTTCCAGTGTCTTACTCCCGGCTGGGAACTGGACCTGATTTTTCTTCCCACACAGGTTGGGAATCAGCTGAGGACAAAATGAAGAAGAGAAAGAAATCCCCGGAAAGAGAGGGCAGGAGAATTAAGTTTCGGATAGTCATCTTAAAACGTTGGAGGCTTTTAAGCGGTCGCAAACCAGTCCTTTACAGATGGCCCTTGACTTACAACCGTTAATTCAGTGACCGTTTGAAGTTACACCACCACTGACCAAAGTGACTTACAACTGGTCCTCGCCCTTACGACCGTCGCAGCATCCCCACGGTCCTGTGATCAAAATTCCAGCACTTGGCAGCCGCCGTGTGGTCACGACGGTTACAATGTCCTGGGTCATACGATCCCCGTTTATGACCTTCCCAGTTGATTTCAGACCAGCAAAGTCAATGGGGGAGAAGTTGGATTTGTTTAATGACTGCATCATTCATTTAACAACTGCAGTGATTTGCTTAACAACCAGATCAAAAATGTTGTAAAATCAGGTGCAATTTAAAAAAATGCCTTGCTGAGCAACAGAAATCCTCGTCTTGGTTGTGGTCATAAGTTGAGGACTACCTGTAGCAAGGTTTTAACGTGGGGAAAGCAAATCCACCCCTTTTCTTTCTGCGGTGCCGCAACTGCCTTCGAAGTACTGATGCAGGTAGTCCTCGATTTACAACAGTTTGCTTAGTGACCGTTCAAAGTTACAACAGCACTGAAAAAAGGGACTTACATGTTCTGTCTCAGCCTACGTGAGTCCTTGTTATGCTCACAAGGAGAAACCCCTCTTCCAAGAAACAGGCAGGAACTGCAAGAAAAAAACAACCCCTTTTATTCTCACAGACCTGAGTCAATGTCCAAGGCAAACAAACACAGTCCACAGAAACTCGATCCTCAACACAAACGGTTGCTTTTGGCAACCAGCACCTTCCACACCTTCCCTTTTATAATACAGCCCAGGCATGGCTTCCTAATGCCTTCTTTTTTGCCTTTGGAGCTGCCCCATTGCATTCCTCTGTCCTACTCCCTTCTCTTACCTGCGCTTTCATGCATCTGGGATTTGTCCCAGCTGTTCTTCATCACTGTCCAACTCAGGCTCCCAGCACAGCTGTGTCTCAGCCTGAGCGCGAGTAGAGGGGCCGGGCTCCTCATCCGACTGTAAGTCTTGGAGCTCCTCAGAGCCTTCCTCTAATGTCACTCCAGGGCCCTCCTCCTCATCTGATTCCTCAGACTCAGCTGCCGGATCCTCTGGCTGACGAGGAATCACAACACTATGACCATTTTTCACAGTTATGACCCTTGCAGCATCCCCAGGGTCAGCTGATCAAAATTCAGACGCTTAGCAACTGGCCCATATTTATGACGGTTTCCCGGCATCACGTGATCCCCTTTTGCAAACCTTTTAACAAGCAAAGCCAATGGGGGATGCCGGATTCACTTAACATCCGTGTTACTCATTTAACAACTGCAGTGATTCGCTTGACAAACGTGACAGGAGAAAAATCGTAAAATGGGGCAAGACTCACTTAACAAATGTCTCACTTAGCCACCTAAAATTTGGGGCTCAGTTGTGGTTGTAAGTAGAGGACTACTTGTACGGGACTGGCTGCCTAAATCTTTCCCATAAGCTGTCTCTACAGAAGCCAGTTTTCGTTCTGTTTTTCTGGCCAAAAAAACAGACCGTAGAGAACAATGGCTTTGTTCGATGACCTTGGTGTTTGCTTTTGACTAGCGCCTTTGCTTAATGACAGCTGCAGAAATAGGTCATAAACTCGGATCAGTGCACGACGATCCACAAGCCCTTTCTAATTAGGATCCAATCCAGTGCATCCAAGTTATATGGTTCATAAGAATGCAGCCCTGACTTTATCTGCCTTGTGTTTCTAAACGCTTGAGGAGTTTAGCCTGTACGAAATCTGCTGCAATTCTTTATTGACTTTTAAATTTCCTAACGCAGCCAATAATCAAATTAGTTTCTGCAGATTATAAAGTACACTTTAAAACATCGAAAGTTTCTAAGAAGTAAACAATTAAAAGGAAAAAGAAAAAGAAAAAAAAAACAACCAGCCACACAATAACAGGCTGCTAATGAAGAGCGAAGCTTTAAAAGCTATTATTCCAGCGTAGAGCAAAACTATTAAAATGGAATCCAGTCAGAAATTATAGAAATATCAGCAAGGAATGGAATGTTATTGCATAGCACTAAAGATGTTACTGCGTAGCACGAAAAAAAATTTTCACGCTGGGAAAGAAATATTCTGGAGAATTCACAGCATTCTGTTTATCCTCTGGGGATTTCCCAGAAATTAATCCTTCAGAGCAGAATCAATTTGATATATCTGAGAAGGTTTCAGCTCTGCTCTTCCATAACATTGGTCTAGAAGTGTTAATACCACTTTACAATGCCTTGGTAAGGCCACACTTGGAATACTGCATCCAGTTTTGGTCACCACGATGTAAAAAAGATGTTGAGACTCTAGAAAAAGTACAGAGAAGAGCCTGCAGGCAGGACAAGAAGCAACGGATGGAGAAACTAATCAAGGAGAGAAGCAACCTGGAACTAAGGAGAAACTGCCTGACAGTTAGAACAATTAACCAGTGGAACAACCTGCCTCCAGAAGTAGTGCATGCTCCAACACTGGAAGTTTTTAAGAAGAGACTGGACAGCCATTTGTCTGAAATGGTATAGATAAGTGGTTCTCAACCTGTGGGTCGGGACCCCATTTGGGGTCAAACGATCATTTCACGGGGGTCGCCAAACAATGCAGTCCGCCATTTCCCCCCCCCTTTTTCTTTAGCTGTGCTACTCCCTTTTATTCTATTGGCTTTTGAAAGCCAATAGAATAGACTCTCTTGAATAGAGTCTAATTCTATTGGCTTTCAAAAGCCAATAGGAATTGTCCAGCTGTCTCTGCCCTGCTGAGCCCGCCAAAAGTCCCATTCTGCAAACGGTGCTGCTGCACCAGTTGAGTAGTCCTCGACTTACGACCGGTTGAGTAGTCCTCGACTTACGACCGGTTGGGGGTCGCGGCATTAAAAAGGTTGAGAACCACTGGTATAAAGTTTCCTGATTGAGCAGGGTGTTGGACTAGATGACCTCCAAAGTCCCTTCCAACTCTTCTTTTCTCTCCTCTCCTCTCCTCTCCTCTCCTCTCCTTCTACTCTTGGCTGGCTGAGGAATTCTGGGAGTTGAAGTCCACAAGTCTTAAAGTTGCCAAGGTTGGGGACCTCTGATGTAGGCCCATATTGTAAAGTTATTGTAACAGAATTAGTCTGAATTAGGCTTTCCCCCTCTCTGCCTTTATCTTCATGAGAACCAGGCAGGATTTTGTCTGAGACGCTTTCTCAGATTACAGTTCTGCTCTAGACTCAGCTTTCTTTTATCCGATTGTCGTCTGGGTAGCATCTCTTCCCTTGAGGCAATTCCCCCCACAATGAGTCAATCAAATTGAGCGTGACCAAACATTCAGAAAGGCAGTCCAAATCTTCCCATCGGAAGTTTTGAGTTTAGAGTTACCGAGACTGACAAACACAGTTTTAACACAAATCCCAAACACAAATAGATACGTAACTTTTATTGTCGTTTTTTTTTTTTTTTTTTTACTGTGGGCACAATGGCACAGATGAAAAATGAAATGCAGTTGCTTGCTTTCAAAGTGTACACATATACAACACGCATTTAAACATACTACATACAATGTAGTGTACGACATTCAAATCACGCAGGTTTGGCTCTTGAGCGGGCCGAAGGCTCTTGATCAAGGCTGTGGGGGAATTCTGGGAATTGACATTCACGCCTCTTCAAGTTGCCGAGGTGGAGAAACAGGTGTATTTCTGCAAGATGGCCGAAGTCCAGAGTTTAAAGTTTAGACCCCCCCCCCCAAAGCCTTGCACTGCAGCCTGGTTCTCTGTACAAGATTCCTCCAAGCAGAGGATCGACTTGAAATCTGGATCCAGTTCCTGACTCACTTCTAAGGCAGATATCGCTTTGGATCTCCCACAAAAGGTTTTCCTGGAGGTTGATTGAGCTGAGCCATCAGGAAGACCCCAACGGTGCCAAAGATAAAAACGGAGGCCATGATGAGGAAGCAGACCCGGTCAATGACTCTCCCTACAAGGATCCATTCTTCATTTTCCTGGAAAGAAAGAAAAAAAAATCAAGGCAACTTGGGGGAAAAAAAGTTAATTTTCCCGGAAGGAAGGAAAAGTCAGGGGAAGCGCAAGGCAGAATCTCTCCAAATGGAGAAGAACAGTGGGCCCATGGAAGACATCCTGATAACCAGGGTTGTATGACGTAGAACCACAGTTGTATGCCATCCAAGGCTTCCCGGTCCTTTCAGAAAGGCCACTCAAATCCTGTCTTCCCACCGAACAGTCAAAAAAGTCAAGATGGCCGTCGCATGTGTGTGTGTGATACAAATTAAAACAAGAGCAGGATGTCCATCATGGTTGCAGCTTCTGTTGCTTTTTCACACACACACACAAACACACACATCCCCAAAGGATGATCCAGCTTTTCTCCTCACACATTTGGGCTTCACAGCATGGACACGTGGACATCAACTCTCAGAATTCCCCCCAAAGCATACATGGCTAGGGAATTCTGGGAGGTGAAGGCCACGCTATCTTAAAGTTGCCAAGGTTGGGAAATTGTTAAGCTCGGTCGAGGCTATCTTTGGGGGATTTTTGAGAAGATACCGTAAGTCAGGGGCCTTCCAACTTGGCCCTTTTATGACTTGTGGACTTCAGCTCCCAGAATTCCTCAGCCAGCCTCCATTTTGTTTGTTAGATTTAAAGCAGGGGCCTTCAAACTTGGCCCTTTGATGACATGTGGACTTCAACTCCCAGAATTCCTCAGCCAGCCTCCATTTTGTTTGTTAGATTTAAAGCAGGGGCCTTCAAACTTGGCCCTTTGATGACATGTGGACTTCAACTCCCAGAATTCCTCAGCCAGCCTCCATTTGTTTGTTAGATTTAAGACAGGGGTCTTCAAACTTGGCCCTTTTATGACTTGGGGACTTCAACTCCCAGAATTCCTCAGCCAGCCTCCATTTGTTTGTTAGATTTAAGACAGGGGTCTTCAAACTTGGCCCTTTGATGACTTGTGGACTTCAACTCCCAGAATTCCTCAGCCAGCCCCCATTTTGTTTGTTAGATTTAAGACAGGGGTCTTCAAACTTCGCCCTTTGATGACTTGTGAACTTCAACTCCCAGAATTCCTCAGCCAGCGTGTCTGGCTTAGGAATTCTGGGAGTTGAAGTTCACAAGCAGGGGTCCTCAAACTTGCCCCCTTCACCTTGCTGATTTTGAGACAAGCACACACCCTTCCCAGTGTCCTTGTTGGAGAAGGGGGCAGCTAACCAAACTTTCCACTGAGTTGGAAACCTTGGTAAGAAAGAAGGAGAGGGAGGGGGAAAAAAAACCCTTCCTTTTTACAAAAAAAAAAAAAAAATAGAAATTTTCAAAGGCCATGACATGGCCGACAAATGGGACACCTTTCATGACAAAACACGGAACCAAGAGAAGTTTCCCCTCCGCAGAACAATTTGTTTTCTGGCACTTTAAATCTAACTTATTTATGAAATCCAAATGAGGGAAATAAGGAGAGAGGGAGAGAGGTTGAAAATAGACCGAGCTCCAATCTGATGATCAATTTCGGCTTGCCAGAGAGAATAGATGAAAGTGGGTCTGATTGCTTCTCGGATTCGGGTCTAAGAGAAAATGCTGATAAATGTCTATTTCCTTTCCAAAGGAATGAACCTGAATAGCGAGATTTCCAATTTTTCCTTTTTTTAAAAAAACAAAAAGGCCTTTTAACCTGCCTTTCACCGAGACACGGAAGAGCAGACGTGGGAATCAATCTCCATAAATAGCCATGCAAACTTCGAAATTTGGGGCGTTCCTGGAATGAGCCGACAGGCATCCGGGATTATACAGGGAGTCTTCAACTTACGACCAGAACGGAGCCCAAAATTTCCGCTGCTAAGCAAGACAGTTGTTAAGTGAGTTTTTCCAAAAGCGATCCCAGGACACGGCAGCCATCATCAATACAGGCCCGGTTGCCAAGCGTCGAATTCGGACCACGGGGGAAGCTGCGATGGTCGTAAGTGTGAAAAACAGCCATAAGTTCCTTGTTTCCCCCCAATGCCGCGCAGTGCCGATTCCCTCAACGACCGCGTCACTCACCTAAGCGCAGCGATTCGCTTAGCAACGGTCGCAAAATGGGACCAAAAACACCCTTAACACCTGTCTGGCTTAGCGACAAACATTTGGGGTTCAATTGTGGTCGTAAGTCGAGGACTGCCTGTACTGAGGTCCTTTTCCCATTAATGGTAATCCTCGACTTACGACCATCACTGGAACCAGGATTGTGACTCAATTGTGGTCGTAAGTCGAGGACTGCCTGTCCTAATATGATTTGTGTGCAGGGCCATCGGCAAGGGGAAGTAAAAAAAAAAAAAAACGCAAGATGGCAGCTGAGACTATGCAGTCCTGGCTCCCATTTTGACTTTTTTGACCCCCCGGTCATTGCTGGCTACCACATCTGGGGCTGCAACTATCTGGATGACCTCACTGCCATCTGGACATCCCGTGCTGATTAGGGAATTCTGGGAGTTGAAGTCCTGAGTCGGGAATTCTGGGAGATGACATCCTGAGTAGAGAATTCTGGGAGATGACATCCTGAGTAGGGAATTCTGGGAGATGAAGCCCAGATCTCTAAAAGTAGCTAAGGTTGAGGAAGACTGCTGTAACCTAACCATCTTTCCTCTCTTCAGTTTCAGGGAGTACTTTTTTTATTTCTTTGGAGTATCTACTACCACTTTACTCTTTCCTGCTTTGATTCCACAACCCTTTTCCAGCATGTCTGCCTCTTCTTTCAAACTTGGGGGGGGGGGAATCCCTTCAAAAAAGACATGCAGCCTGGACCTTTTCCAGTTTGTCCTCCTTTTTTCCTTATACCCCCATCCCACGCAAGCTCGCAGTTGCCAGGACATCTGCCCAGATGTTGACTGTGCCGGCTGTTTTAACTGGACTTACGGGATGGGAAGTGGAACCTGCCCACATGAATCCAGCCTCTCTGTTTCCATGGCACTTACGCTGTCAAAATTGTTCTTCTCTCGCAAAGTCTTGGTGATGTGGTTGCAGGCTTTCACACAGGACTGGATTTCCGGAGCCGTGTGGCGTAGGCTGTTGCAGAAGTCCTGGGGACCCCCGTTCCCCAAGCCTTCTCCTTGAAATGGAAATCAAGGTAGAGAAACATCAAAGACCAAGGCGAAGAACAAGAGGGGCTTTGAAGAATGGCAATTTCTGCATGAAATTCTAATGCTCTTTTGTCAAAACAGAATGGAATGGAACAGGAATAGGAATGATGTGATGTGATGGGAAGGGATGGGATGGGATGGAATATAGAATGTGATGGGATGGAATGGAATGGACTAGACTAGACTAGACTAGAACAGACTAGAATAGACTAAAACAGAATAGAATAGAATGAACTGGACTGGAATGGAATATAAAATAGAATGGAATGGAATATAGAATGTGATGGGATGAGATGGGATGAGATGGGATGGGATGGGATGGAATGGAATATAGAATGTGATGGGATGGGATGTGATGGAATGGAATGGAATGGAATGGACTGGACTGGATTAGATTAGAACACACTAGAACAGAACAGAATAGAATAGACTGGGCTGGACTGGAATGGACTGGAATGGAATGGAATATAAAATAGAATGGAATGGAATGGAATATAGAATGTGATGTGATGGGATGGGATGGGATAGGAAGGGACGGGACGGAATGGAACGGAACCGAATGGAATAGAAATCTTTATTGGCCAAGTGTGATTGGACACACAAAGAATTTGTCTCCGGTGCAGAAGCTCTCATTGTACATATAAGCAACAAATAATAAACCATGATTATAATCATAAGAAACATTCAACATAAATCGTAAGATACAAGCAACGGAGTTATAATCATAGAATGCTTAGTAAGCAATCAACATAAATCTTACTAGGATACTAAATAAAAGCATTCCCCACAAATCGTGAGTTATAGTCATAAGAAGCGAAGGAAATAGGTAATAGGAAAGATGAGAAGGATAATAGTAATACAGCCCTACTAGGTACTTTGACATCCCAGGACACAAGACAGTGTTGTGGGAATTAGTTGTTTAGCAGAGTGATAGCATGGTAGCGGGCGGGGGGGGGGAACGGACTGTCTTTGTTTCTGGTGGTTTTGGCATGCAATGCCTATACTATAGGGCTTCCTGCCTGAGCAGGGGGTTGGACTAGAAGACCTCCAAGGTCCCTTCCAACTCTCTTTAGTCTGACCTTTCCAAACCATTGCCCAATAACCCAGCCGGAGTCCCCTCCGGCCTGCCAGAAGCTCACCAATTTTTGACAGGAGTATCTTCATCAGCCCGTCTCGTTCCTTCTGCCTCTCAAACAGGAGTTCACTCCGGGCTTTCCACAGCATGTATTCCTCAGCTTTGGCTATCAACCCCAGGGAGCTCCGTCGTCGCGCAGGCCGATTCTCGGCGGGAAGCGGGAAGCGTCTCCTGTGCATGCCCAGGTAATGGGGCACCAGGTGCAGGAAGACCTACAGAGCCAGGGGCTGAAACACGTTGGGAAGCGGGAGCAGAAAGGAACGCCGGGAAAACTTTCCAAAGGATGCCACCATTTGTTCACGGGAGGATGGAGAGGGGGGGGGGGACAGGGAAGACACCACAGGTAGTCCTCGACTTACAGCAGTTCGTTTAGTGACCGTTCAGAGTTACAACGGCACTGGAACAAAAGCGTGTTATGACCGTTTTCCGTGCTCAACATTGAGACGTTTGGCAACTGACCCGTGTTTAGGATGGTCGCAGCGTCTTGGAGTCAAGTGATCCCGTCTTATGACCTTTTCACTAGCAAACTCCATGAGGAAGCCCAATTTCCTTAACAACCATTGACGGGTTTAACAACCGCGGGGGTCCACTTAACGGCTGTGGCAGGAAAGGTCATAGAACAGGTCAAAATTCACTTCGCAAACGTCTTTCTTAAACTACAGATATTTTGGGCTCAGTTGTGGTCGTACATTGAGGGCTACCTGTGCTGATGTCTTTTTCCCATTACCGGTAGTCCTCGGTTTACAACCATCATTGGAACCAGAATTCCCGTTGCTAAGCAAGTCAGCTTTCTTTAGTGAGTCACACCCAATTTTTTTGGGCCACAGTTGTTCAGCAAATCCCCGCAGTTGTTAAGGGAGTTGTGTGGCCATTCAGCAAATCTGCTTTTCCTGTTGACTTGCTTGTCAAAGCCAACTGGGAAGGTCATAGATAGCGATCACATCGCCATTGGCATGTTCCAAAGGTGCTTTTTCACGAGGCAAGTGGACTTTCTTGTTTTTTCCTTGAAGATGTTTTGCTTCTCATCCCAGAAGCTTCTTCAGCTCTGACTGGATGGTGGTGTCATAGTTCCGACAGATGAAACTCTTCAAAGAACTTCGAGGCATTGTTTACCTTAAAGAATCTTTATTCGAGAAGCATAACATCGGCACGTACATAGGCAAAGCCAAAAACTGAATTCCCCTCCCCTGAGCACATAGTATCAAAGCACAATTCCCTCCTCTAATTAACAGTCATAAATCATATTCTCCAATTAGCTTGAAATGCAGGCTTCCCCTCCAGTTCTCCAGCCCGCCAATTCTTATCATCTCTTATTTCAATAACCTTGGTTCTCATACTAGTTACAATATGGTTATGTCTAACTAAAGTCCCATGCACATTCCTCCTCCTCCTCCCCCCCAGTATCATCTAATTCTAACTCTAATTCTAAGAGTAAAACAGAAGAAGCGAAATGGCTGCATCTCCATATGTTGTCAAAGCAAGGACATCCGATGTTAGCAATGTTGACAGGTGGGGAATGGAAGGATTTAAACTCCTTGCAGACAGTGGTCATTTGCCTTCTTTTAGAGAGCCGTTGAGGCCACTTGGAGGTTTATCTGCGTATTCAGGGTCACCTGAGTGGTGCAAATGGGTGTGGAGCCTTCTTGGGAGTGCTGAAAGGACTCTGTTGTAGACTGGAGATTGATGATGTCACTACTCAGGTGACCCTGACAACACAGATAAACCTCCAAGTGGCCTCAACGGCTCTCTAAAAGAATGCAAATGACTAACATCCTTCCATTCCCCCACCATCCAGTCAGAGCTGAAGAAGCTTCTGGGATGAGAAGCGAAACGTCTTCAAAGAAAAACAAGGCAGTCCAGTTGCCTCGTAAAAAAGCACCTTTGGGACAACCACGATCTGGATGACTGAGAATCCCCCTAGACAATTACCGCTGGCATTTTGACCCTGTCACCTTGGAGATACTGCAGTGGTCATAAGCACGAGGACTAGTCACGTCACTTTTTTCAATACCATTGCAACTGAAATAGTTGCTAAATTGGTGATTGTAAGTCAAGGACTATCTGTAGTGCATTTCTGGAGAGTAGCATCATTTTTTGTTCTCTAACTGGCTTGTCTTAATTAAGGTTTAGGTAAATTCAGGGTTGAGACCCCCCAAAGGAAATCCAGACAGCTCCCATCCCAAAGATCTTGGGAAACGTCACCATTGTTCCAAGCCCTGGAATGAGGTGGCTGCTGACCCTCTATTAGTCTTTATTTTTACATTGTTCAGTAGGGTTCTCTCTTCTGAATGGCTAGGATCAGTTTCCTAGTTTTGATTGTTCTTCACTTTCAAAGTATACTGGGATGCTATAAGGCTCCTGCCTTGAGCAGGGGGGGTGGACTAGAAGACCTCTGAGGTCCCTCCCAGCCTTATGATTCAGTGTAGGCCAGGGTGTCCAACCTTGACCACTTTCACCCTTGTGGACTTCAACTCCCAGAATTCCCCAGCCAGCACGGAGCTTGGCAGGGTAGAGCAACAGGAAAAGATGACAGACAGGAAGATATTGGTAGGGCCCTGTATCTCAGCCATGGCAACTTTAATAAAGTGTGGATTTCAATTCCCAGAATTCTCCAGCCAGCATAGCTGGCTAGAGAATTCTGGGAATTGAAGTCCACAACTCTTAAAGTTGCCAAGATTGGATACCCCTGGTATAGGATGCCATTTCAGATCAAATTAAATCAAAGTGAATAAATCAACCCCTTCCAAAAAGAAAAAAAGAAAAAACTGCAGCCCCAGCTTGACTCAAAAGTACCAAAAATAAAACAAAAGCCCAGGAAAATGGAGAAGGCCCAGCCCTCAGCCCTTCCAGGTGGGAAGCACCGCCTCCTTCGGACTCACCTGTCGGACTCGCTCGGACATCGAATGGGTATTGGGGGTGCGCAGAGAAACGTTGAGGACAATCACAGCGTTCACCACAATGGCGATGGTTACCACCAGGAGGAAGGTTAAATACCTTTCAACAGAAACAGGGATGCACTGCATTTTATTTTATATTTCATTTCGTTTCGTTTCATTATTTTATTTTATTTTATTTTATTATTTTATTATATTATATTATTTTATTTTATTTTACTTTACTCTTGTTTTATTTTATTTTTCACTTTATATTTTATTTTATTATTTTATTTTGTTTAATTGTTCTGTTTTGTTTTATTTTATTTTATTATTTTATTTTATTTTATTATTTTATATATATATATTTTTATTTTACTCTTGTTTTATTTTATTTTTCACTTTATATTTTATTTTATTATTTTATTTATTTTATTTTGTTTAATTATTTTATTTTGTTTTATTTTGTTTTATTATTTTATTTTATTATTTTATTTTATTTATTTTTTATTTTATTATTTTATTTTATTTATTATTTATTTTATTTTATTATTTTATTTTATTTTATTATTTTATATATTATTTTATTATTTTATTTTACTCTTGTTTTATTTTATTTTTCACTTTATATTTATTTTATTATTTTATTTTATTATTTTATATATTATTTTATTATTTTATTTTACTCTTGTTTTATTTTATTTTTCACTTTATATTTTATTTTATTATTTTATTTTGTTTAATTATTTTATTTTGTTTTATTTTGTTTTATTATTTTATTTTATTATTTTATTTTATTTATTATTTATTTTATTATTTTATTTTATTTTATTTATTATTTATTTTATTATTTTATTTTATTTTATTTATTATTATTTTGTTTATGTCTATCCTGCGTTTATTATTTTTGCAAATCATTCAAGGCGGTGGATATAGCCAACACACCTTCCTCTTATTTTCCCCACAAGAACAATTTGTGAGGTGAATTGGGCTGAGAGCAATGACTGAAACAAAGTCACCCAGCCAGCTTTCATTCCTAAGGCGGGACTAGAATTCATAGTCTCCCAGTGATTGGCCCAAAGTCACCCAGCTGGCTTTCATGCCTAAGGCGCGACTAGAACTCACCGTCTCCTGGTGATTGGGCCAAAGTCACCCAGCTGGCTTTCACACCTAAGGCAGAACTAGAACTCACAGTCTCCTGGTGATTGGCCCAAAGTCACCCAGCTGGGAGTTGGAGTCCATAAGTCTTAAAAGTTGCCAAGGATGGAGACCCCTGAGTTGAAGGACTATAAATCCTGGCCAAAATACCAGCCCCTTGGGCCCCCCTGTCCCCACCACAGCTCATAAGGAAGGGAACTAACTCCCTTCTGCAAGCGTCCAGAATTATTTAATTAAGCTTTGTTCCCGGGTTTCATTCTGAGTTCCAAACCTACTCCAGTATCCCAATTTGCAGCTGCCGCAAGTGGTAATGATGTTCATTTAGCAAAATACTCACTTTCCAATCAGGGGCACCGCCTGAGAGGTTTCTGGCACCTTTTTTGCAATCAGAAAAAGGAAGACGGTCTGGGCTAAGAGGACGTTGATGGAGACCGTGCACTTCTGCCCACCAGCTGTGGAAATAAGAAAAAGGAGGGTTTGCTCCTCTTGTAAAAGAGAAGAGGAGAGGGGGAGAGGGAAAGAGGAGAGAGACAGGAGAGGGTGAGGAGAGGAGAGGAGAAGAGAGAAAAGTAGAGGGAGAGAGGAGAGGGAGAGGGAGAGAAGATAGGGTGAGGAGAGGAGAAGAGGAGAGGGAGAGAGAGGGGAGAGGAGAGGAGAGGGAGAGAGGAGAGGGAGAAGAAGGAGAGGGGTAGAGAGGAGAGGGGAGAGGAGAGGGAGGGAGAGAGAGAGGAGAAGGAGAGAGGAGAGGGTGAGGAGAGCAGAAGAAGAGAGCAGAGGAGAGGGAGAGAGAGGGGAGAGGAGAGGGAGAGAGAGGGGAGAGGGGAGGGAGAGAGGAGAGGGAGAAGAAGGAGAGGGGTAGAGAGGAGAGGGGAGAGGAGAGGGAGGGAGAGAGAGAGGAGAAGGAGAGAGGAGAGGGTGAGGAGAGCAGAAGAGGAGAGCAGAGGAGAGGGAGGGAGAGAGTAGAGGGAGAGGAGAGGGAGAAGGGAGAGGGAGGGAGAGAGAGAAAGAGAGGAGAGGGTGAGGAGAGGGAGAGGAATAAGGAAAGGAGGGGAGGGCAGAAAGGAGGGAAGGGAAGGAAGGGAAAGGAAGGAAGGAAGGAAGGAAGGAAGGAAGGAAGGAAGGAAGGAAGGAAGGAAGGAAGGGAAGGAAGGAAGGAAGGAGAGAGAAGGAAAGGAAGGGAAGGAAAGTAAAGGGAAGGGAAGGGAAGGAAAGGAAAGAAGGAAAGGGAAGAGAAGAGAAGAGAAGGAAAGGGAAGGAGGGAAACACAGAAAACAGGAAGGAAAAAAATGCCTTCCAACTTGATCCTTCTCTGCAACTGAACCCCAACAATTTCAGAACTGGCTCACATGGACCCTAATTCACGCTATCTCTGTTCCAATCCTTTAAAAAAAAAAAAATTTTCTCTTCTGCTGCATTAGGACCCAGGCAAAAGGGTTGGACTGGATGATCTCCAGGTTTCCCTTCCCTTTGATGATTCAAGAACTCCTCCCATGAGGCCCCCAGGATGCTGACCTTTGGCCGGCAGGAAGTACACCAGCAGAGCCACAGAGGAAATGAGCACGCAGGGGATGATGATGTTCACGATGTAGAACAGAGGCTTCCTCTGGATGATCAAGAAGAAGACAATTTGCTGGTACCCAATGTCACTCGGCGTGAAGCGTTCGACATTCACCACTTTCTTGGCGGGCCGGTGTTTGATCGCCCACTCTCCATTCTCTGCCAGAAGGATAACCGGATCAGCCGTAGCACAGCTCAAACCCACTCCCTGGGGCTCTAGGACAATTTCGCACAGCCAATTCAGCACAGCCAACTCACTGCAGCCCACTTACCACCGTCAACTCACCACGGCCCACTTGCCATGATCAACTCACCGCGGTCAACTCACCATGGCCAACTCACTATGACCAACTCACCATGGCCAACTCACCATGGTCAACCCACCATGTCCAACTCACTATAGCCAACTCACCATGCCCAACTCACTATAGCCAACTCATCATGGCTAACTCACTATAGCCAACACACCATGGCCAACTCACTATAGCCAACTCACCATGGCCAACTCACTGACCAACTCACTATAGCCAACTCACCATGGCCAACTCACTGACCAACTCACCATGGTTAACTCACTATAGCCAACACACCATGGCCCACTCACTATAGCCAACTCATCATGGCCAACTCATTATAGTCAACTCACCATGGCCAACTCACTATAGCCAACTCACCATGGCCAACTCACTGACTAACTCACTATAGCCAGCTCACCATGGCCAACTCACTATAGCCAACTCACCATGGCCAACTCATTATAGTCAACTCACCATGGCCAACTCACTATAGCCAACTCACCATGGCCAACTCACTGGCTAACTCACTATAGCCAACTCACCATGGCCAACTCACTATAGCCAACTCACCATGGCCAACTCACTGGCCAACTCATTATAGTCAACTCACCATGGCCAACTCACTATAGCCAACTCACCATGGCCAACTCATTATAGTCAACTCACCATGGCCAACTCACTATAGCCAACTCACCATGGCCAACTCACTGGCCAACTCATTATAGTCAACTCACCATGGCCAACTCACTATAGCCAACTCACCATGGCCAACTCACTGGCTAATTCACTATAGCCAACTCACCATGGCCAACTCACTATAGCCAACTCACCATGGCCAACTCACTGTGGCCAACTCACCATGGCCAACTCACTATAGCCAACTCACCATGGCCCACTCACTATAGCCAACTCACCATGGCCAACCCACTGTGGCCAACTCACCATGGCCAACTCACTATAGCCAACTCACCATGGCCAACTCACTATAGCCAACTCACCATGGCCAACTCACTGCAGGACAAGTGTTACACTAATATCAAAAAAATGGTGGAATAGAATAATTAAAGAAAGGATCCCAAAGGAGGGACAAAATGAAATGTGAATGATGAAAATTAAAATAATGTTTTCATTATTTCAAATAGTTGAATGGAATTGTTGCATTGTCCCTCAGTGAGTTATCCTAGGGCCAGTTATCCCATTGCACCCTGTCCAAGGTTCTCTTGTATCCCATTATGGGATAGCTATGATGACGGAGATGCTGCAATGGTCATAAGTGTGAAAAACATGCATACATAACTTTTTTGAGTGCCGTTGTAACTTCAAACAGTCGCTCTAAACCAGTGTTTCTCAATCTTGACAATTTTAAGGCATGTGGACTTCAACTTCCAGAATGCTGGCTGTGGAATTCTGGGAGTTGAAGTCCACATGCCTTAAAATTGTCAAGGTTGAGAACACTTCTCTAAACGAATGGTTTTATGCCAAGAACTACCTCTAGCGGGAAAAGGTTAAACAGGGGGAAAGCCATATTTTTATACATATGTTAACTGCAGTAGGATTTCAGATACTACTCAAATTACATCCCTTCACATAGCAAACAAAGTTATGATTACTCAAAATATATAAACCAGTTTAGAAGTTCGGCAGCCGCCCTCACCACACCCCTAGGTCACGTGCCCACATTTTAGGTGTGTGCCAACAGACCAGCATTTATGGGCTTCTGCAGTGCCCCATGGTCACACTACCACACAATGTCTTTTTGAGCAAATAAACTGATATTTATTTTGCCCAAATAAAGTGGCATTTATTTCCAGTTTTGGGTAAAGCGTCCCAAGGCAATAGAAGAAGGAAGATGGTGGAAGATCTAGATCTAGATCTAGATCTAGATCTAGATAAAGAGAGATCTAACCTAGAACTAAGGAGAAATTTCATGACAGCAAGAACAATTAACCAGTGGAACAACCTGCCTCCAAAGCAGGGGTCTTCAAACTGGGCCCTTTTATGACTTGTGGACTTCAACTCCCAGAATTCCTGTCTTAAATCTAACAAACAAAATGGAGGCTGGCTGAGGAATTCTGGGAGTTGAAGTCCACAAGTCATGAAAGAGCCAGGTTTGAAGACCCCTGTCTTAAATCCAACAAACAAAATGGAGGCTGGCTGAGGAATTCTGGGAGTTTAAGTCCACAAGTCATAAAAGGGCCCAGTTTGAAGACCCCTGTCTTAAATCTAACAAACAAAATGGAGGCTGGCTGAGGAATTCTGGGCGTTGAAGTCCACAAGTCATAAAAGGGCCAAGTTGGAAGACCCCTGCTCCAGAGGTTGTGGGTGCTCCATCCCTGGAGGTTTTTAAGACGAGACTGGACAGCCATGTGTCTGAAATGGTATAGGTCTCCTGCCTGAGCAGGGGGTTGGACTGGATGACCTCCAAGGTCCCTTCCAGCCCTATAATTCTTCGTTCTGTGTTTCTAAGAACGGCCGAAGCAGAAGACTGCTCGGAGTGCTTGGGGTCTGAATGAAGGGTCCCTAAGCAGGAAGAAAGAACCCAAACATGGGCTCTAGAATGGCTCCTCTCTGCAAGGAGATTTCAGCTAAAGGCTGGGCTGAGATGCAACATGGAAGCTGCAGAATCTCCAGAATCTGAGGAGGTTTTGGTGCTGTCTGCGCTGGGTGGTTTTCTTGCAGATCTTGCATTACTGAAACTAGACAACGTCATCAGTGCTAGGATTCTAACACTGATGATGTTGCCTAGTTTGGGTGATGAAACATCTGCAAGAAAACAACCCAGCGCAGACAGCATCAAGGACCCCACTCTCCTCCTCCTCCTCCTCCTCCTCCTCCTCCTCCAAACCCAACTCCCTTCTAACACTGATGATGTTACCTAGTTGGGTCATGAAACGTCTGCAAGAAAACAACCAAGCTCAGAGAGCACCAAGGATCCCACAGTCTCCTCCTCCTTCTCCTCCTCCTCCTCCTCCTCCTCCTCCTCCTCCTCCTCCTCCTCCTCCTCAAACTCCACTCCTTCTAGCACGGATGAGGTTACCAGTTTGGGTCATGAAACATCTGCAAGAAAATCACCCAGCCCAGAGATCCCCAAAGGCCCCTCATTTCAACCCTCAGCTACCAATATTCTCTTTTCTTGGTTTCCAAGATCTCCAGGTGTCTTTGAGAAAAAGCCCACACCTCTCTTTCCTTCCCTCCTCTCAGCTGTTGTGCCAGGCCGGGCTTAACATGTGATTAAGCTGATGTTTGTCTCCCAGCTCATGTCATCTGCCGGAGTGACAGCTTTTTAACGAGGCAAAATGACTGGCTTGAAGTCCCCCACTTGTGTTTTGGATACGTTATATTAAAACATGACGGAGACCCACCAGTCTCTGCAGGGGGGGGGGGCTCAGAAAATTCGGGGAGGGGGGTTGTGGGGAAAAAAGCACGCGCAGCAAACTGCCATGCTTCCCCCCCATACACACAAAGCTCATAACCTTTTGATACCCTTTGTCCCAAGGAAGCAGCCAAAAGATCACCCCCTTTTGACTTAATACCTTACCTACCTAAATAAATAATATGCTTTAAGTTCCCCCTTATCTCTTCCTGTCTTTATCTCTTCCTGTCTTTGTCAGTTCTTTCTCCTTTTTAATCTAACTGTTTTTGTTTTTACCTGCTCTCTGAACAGGTAATATGTTACTAGAAAATAATTGCTTATATGAAGGAATTTTTCAGTTACTTTATGTCAACAGCTAAAGGTTAAACTTATGAATGTAAAATGTCAGCAGTTAATGGTAAAGCCTGTGTATGTAAACTCAAGAGTTTGTCAAGCTGTGTCCTGCAGCTTCAAACCTCTGCTCAAGAAATGCCTGAGTGTTTTTCTTAGCATCGTTACAGGGGATGTCCCTGGAGAAACCAGCATCAACATCACCGTCAGCCTTCGGAGAAGACAAGGGCAATCAAGTCTCTTGTTGCAGACTTGTTAAAATGCAGCCGATTCCCACATGCAAAAGAGAGTGTGTCAAGTCTCTTTCATCAGATCAGGGAAAGATCTACCGGCTGTATTCACAAGACATCCAAAAGCCTGCTGGGCTCCGATCGTGGTTTGCTGCAGAGGTATGGGGGTTATGTGTAGTTGAAGATACTGCACCAATCCAAGAGCGCAGGATTTTTGCGTTCGGCAGGGGTGGGACTAGATGCTCTCTAAAGTCCCTCTCCACCCATGCATTCTATGACGCCATGAAATGAGATTCAGGGGCTGGCTTCAGAAGAAGCAAAGGTATTCCAGACCACTCTGCAAATAGCTGGTGGGGGATAATAATAATAATAATAATAATAATAATAATAATAATAATAATAGTAGTAGTAGTAGTAGTAGTAGTAGTAATAAAGTTGGAAGGGACCTTGGAGGTCATCTAGTCCAACCCCCTGCTCAGGCAGGAAATCCTACACCATTTCAGACAAATGGCTGTCCAGTCTCTTCTTAAAAACTTCCAGAAGTTTTTAAGAAGAGATTAAAGTTTCTAGAAGCTTTAGTCCCCATGCAGTAGAGGAAAAGTTGCTTTAGCATCCCTTAAAAAGGACTAAACTTAGCTTTATTGGTGGCTACAGGTGAGAGAGCTGATTGGAACCTCCATGTTCAGGGACAGTCTATCCTGGAATGCCACAAGGAGGCAGGCAGAGAAGCAGGAGGAAAGGGACTTTCAAGCAGAGGGGTCAGGTTGATTACTGATGGTCCCAGTGCTAGGATGACATTCCAGAGGTAGCAAGAGCCAAGTCACACCATGAAATCCTTCCTCCCCCCAGCTCACCTGTGAAAGCGTTGGACTCAATGTAAATCCATTCAATTGTTTTTCCCTCTTCGACAGTCAGCAAGAGGTTGATTTCAAGGGCATTGTAGGTCTGAGACCTTGCAAGGAGAAGACACACAACTAGGATCAATTCATGGCACTGGTGCTGTTGAAGTAAGGATGCAACCTCCTCCTCCCCCTCTTCCCTCCCTCCTTCTCCTCCTCTTCCCCCTCCCTCTCCTCCTCCTCCCCCTCTCCCTCCTCCTCCCTCTCCTCCTCTTTCCTCCCTCCCCCTCCTTCTCCCTCCCTCTCCTCCCCCTCCTTCTCCCTCCCTCTCCTCCTCTTCCCCCTCCCTCTCCTCCCTCCCTCTCCCCCTCCTCCTCCTCTTCCCTCCCTCCCTCTCCTCCTCCCCCTCCTCCTCCTCCCTCCCTCCCTCCCTCCCTCCCTCTCCTCTTCCTCCCCTTCCCCCTCCCTCTCCTCCTCTTCCCCCTCCCTCTCCTCCCTCCCTCTCCTCCCCTCCCCTCCCCCTCCTCCCTCCCTCTCCTCCCTCCCTCTCCTCCCTCCCTCTCCTCCTCTTCCCCCTCCCTCTCCTCCCTTCCTCTCCCCCTCTTGCCTCCCTCCCTCTCCTCCTCCTCCTCCTCCCCCTCCCCCTCCTCTTCCCTCCCTCCCCCTCCTCCTCCTCCTCCTCCTCCCACTCCCCCTCCCTCTCCTCCTCCTCCCCCTCCCCCTTCTCCACCTCCCTCCCTCTCCCTCCTGCCCTCCCTCCTGCCCTTTCCCTCCCTCTCCTCCCTCCCTCTCCTCCTCTTCCCCCTCCCCCTCCTCCTCTTTCTCCCTCTCTCTTCCTCTTTTCTCCCTCTCTCTCCTCCTACTCCCCCTCCCCCTCCTCCTCCCTCCCTCTCCTCCCTCTTTTCCTCCTCCCCCTCCTCCTCCTCCCTCCCTCCCCCTCCTCCTCTTTCCTCCCTCCCTCTCCTCCTCCTCCCCCTCCTCCTTCCCTCCTACCCTCTCCCTCCCCTTTGCCTCCCTCTTCTCCTCCTCCTCCTCCTCTTCCTCCTCCTCCTCCACTAATCCCAGCCTAATTCTTTCTATGATCTGGACCGCTCAGCCAGTGGCAGCCAGGGAATCCCAAGCAGAACTTCCACGTTAGCAGGGCAGCTCAGCCAATCCCTGCCAAAAGCTACCTCTGCAACCTTTAATCTCTAAAGTATATTGGAAACCATTTTCTTAGATATGAAGCTATCTAGGGAAGACAGGAGCAATTGTTCGGAAGGATTTATTATTATGATCTTATGATTTATGATGAATGTTTTTTTTAATTATAATCAGGATTTATCACTCGTTGCTTGTTTGTACACTCAGAGCTTCCATGCCGGAAACAAATTCCCTGTGTTTCCAATCACACTTGGCTAATAAGGAGTTATATTTCTACTTCTATTATCTACATTTCTATTTCAATTTCTATTATCTATATTTCCATTTCTGTTTCTATTATCTATATTTCTATTTCTATTATTTCCACTTCTATATTTCTATTTCTATTATTTCTATTTCTATATTTCTATTTTTGTGTAGTCCTTGACTTATGATCATTCAAAAGTACAACGGACTTCCCAAAAGTTTCAAAATTTCAACAGCCAGCCCTCCAACTGTCACACGAATGCATGTGGGGCCCTTGGCAACCGTTTCGCGTTTTCTGCCAACTTGCAGCATCCCACAACCCCAATTTATGACATTTTTCCTAAAAGCTGGCCTTCCTTCCGGCAAAAACGCCCTATAGCCAACCGTGGTTTCACTTAACAACCTCCACAGTCACTAAACAGTTGCTGAAAAAAAAAGGTTGTAAAACTGGATTGATTGTACGGTGGACCCCACTTTACGACCTTCGCGGCCTAGGGCCATAATTGGCAGCTTCCATGATGGTCGTAAATTGAGTAAATCTGTCATTCCATATACAGGTAATCCTCACTTAATGGCCAGAATTGACCCCCAAATTTCTGTGGCTAAGCGAGACATTTGCGAAGTGAGTTTTGATCCACTTTACGACCTTTCCTGTTGTTAAGTGAGGAACCCAGTCATTAAACGAATCTGGCTTTCCCCCCCCCCATGGACTTTGCTTGTCAGAAGGTCGCAAAAGGGGATCACGTGACCTCAGGACGCTGCAACCGTCATAAGTATGAGTCCATTGACAAGCCTCTGAATTTTGATCACATGACCACAGGGATGCTGCAACGGTCGTAAGTGTGAAAAAGCGGTCATAAGTGACTTTTTTCAGTGCCGTTGTAACTTTGAATGACTAAATGAACCATTGTAAGTCGAGGACGATGTGCATTTAATTGATGAAGAATGCGGCCACAGCTATCCATGAAAAGAAGGGGTGGGAGGGACGATCTGAAAGCCACACCAGATTGAGGTGAAAGTCAGACCAGATTTGAAAGTCACACCAGTGTGATTTGAAAGTCAGACAAGATTGAGGTGAAAGTCAGACCAGATTTGAAAGTCACACCAGATTGATTTGAAAATCAGACCAGATTGATATGAAAGTCAGATCAGATTTGAAAGTCACACCAGTGTGATGTGAAAGTCACACCAGTGTGATGTGAAAGTCACACCAGATTGAGGTGAAAGTTAGACCAGACTGATGTGAGAGTCACACCAGATTGAGGTGAAAGTTAGACCAGACTGATGTGAATGTCAGACCAGATTGATGTGAAAGTCAGACCAGATTGGTATGAAAGTCAGACCAGATTGGTGTGAAAGTCAGACCAGATTTGAAAGTCAGACCAGATTAATTTGAAAGTCAGACCAGATTGATTTGAAAGTCAGACCAGATTGATATGAAAGTCAGATCAGATTTGAAAGTCACACCAGTGTGATGTGAAAGTCACACCAGTGTGATGTGAAAGTCACACCAGATTGAGGTGAAAGTTAGACCAGACTGATGTGAGAGTCACACCAGATTGAGGTGAAAGTTAGACCAGACTGATGTGAATGTCAGACCAGATTGATGTGAAAGTCAGACCAGATTGGTGTGAAAGTCAGACCAGATTGATGTGAAAGTCAGACCAGATTTGAAAGTCAGACCAGATTGATGTGAAAGTCACACTAGATTGATGTGAAAGTCACAGCAGATTTGAAAATCACACCAGATTGATGTGAAAGTAACACCAGATTGATTTGAAAGTCAGACCAGATTGATGTGAAAGTCACACCAGATTGATGTGAGAGTCAGACTAGATTGATGTGAAAGCCACACCAGATGCAGTCATGTGGGGCTGAAGGCCATGCTTTCATCCGGACATGTTCTCCCAAGGCCACCAAGTAAATCTTCAAGACCACTCAGATGATTCCTTCCCTCCCCAGCCTGCTCCTTCCTTCCGCCTTTCCCATCCCACACCGTACCCCAGAGGGACTCACTGGAACACCATGGAGCAATTTTGCCAATCAAAAGGGAAGTAGGTGACGAAAACGGAGCAGACGCTCCGATAAATAGCTGGAGGCAACCAAGTGATGCTACCATCAGGAAACACCAGCGCATTGGTGTACAAGGCGACGTCAAAGATCCCATCGATGCTGCAAGAAAGACAGACAGAAAGAGAAAAGTTTGGGGCCTCTATTTTCTGGCTGGCCTGGCCAAGAGGGCGACTGGTTTTCCCATTTCATCATTTGGGGGGCTGCCACAAAGAAAAGGGGGACAACCCAGTGGCGGGATTCAGCCGGTTCGCACTACTTCGGCAGAACCGGTAGCTAATTTTTTGTTGCCCGGACCCAGAATGGACTTCCGGAAGCGGCATCCACGCAGAGAACCGTTTGTTCACCCATTTGAATCCCCCAACTGGGACAACCTCTTCTCCAAAGCACCTGAAGGCAGATTAAGAAGCAACACATGGAAATTGACCAAAGAGAGAAGCAATGAAGGGGAAACTTCCTAACAGTGAGGACAATTAATCGGTGGAACAGCCTGCTACCAGAAGTTGTGGGTGCTTCGTTGCAGGAGGTTTTTAAGAAGAGACTGGACAGCCACTTGTCTGGAATGGTCTAGGGCAGGGGTGTCAAACTCGCAACATTATGGGACGTGTCGCGACGTATCGCGACTTTTTCCCCATTGCCGGAGCTGAGATGGGCGTGGATTCGGCATGACGCATCCGGCCTGCGACGGTTGACACCCCTGGTATAGGGTCTCCTGCTTGAGCAGGGGGTTGGACTAGAAGACCTCCAAGGTCCCTTCCAGCTCTATTCTGATTGATTGATCTCCCTGTCCCACAAACCATTTGGTCCCTCTCCAACAAATGCCCCAAAAGCCTCACCCACCAAGGGATGGATGACCTGTGATTCTATGGAAGGGTCCAACTAGATTAGGCTCCATATTACACAAAAGGTTGCCGTCAGAGGGGCCTGGGAAGCAAAATCAACTTTGACAGACTACTGACTTGTTCTCCAGGACAATATCTGGCAGCCAGATCAAGATCGAAGGGATCCGTAAGCAGCTGATGTTGCCGTACTCCTCTGGGTCCCACTGCAGACGATAATCTCTCCATTTCTGGCAAGAACAAACTCGATTACTCATATTGGCTTGGCAAATATTGACAAGATCAGGCACGATTACGACAGCTACCACAATTGTTGGCCGAGCAGGGACAAAAACAGCCTGAGAAACGATTGAAGCCTGGGAAACGGGGGCCCCTTGTCAATCAACCGGAATGCTGATTTACCACCAGTCTGTCAGGTACCTAGGATCGGAGGTCGCAGCAGTACAAGGAAACTATGGTTAATGACTAAATAGCCAGCCATCGACGTGCTAATTAACAACTAAAAACTGCACACAACCAGGAACCGTATAAACACGATGTGCGGACCAGCCTGGTGCACATATTCTGGAGCGAGGGAAGTTCCCCAAGGATGGGCTCCAGCATGAACCCAAAAGCTTGGAAGAATAAAACTTTGGTGCCGGTGACCAACTAAGATTGGATCCTACCAACAATAGTGAGACCACACCTGGAATACTGCAGCCAGCTTTGGTCACCATATCACAAAAAAGATGTTGGAAAAAAAAAATCAGAGAACTAAGATGATCCAAGGCCTGGAGACTAAAACAAGGAAACCAATCAAGGAGAGGAACAACCTAGAACTAAGGAGAAACTTCCTGACAGTGAGAACAATTAACCAGTGGAACAACCTGCCTCCAGAAGCGGTGAATGCTTCAACACTGGAAGTTTTTAAGAAGAGACTGGGCAGCCCTTCGTCTGAAATGGTATAGGGTTTCCTGCCAGAGCAGGGGGTTGGACTAGATGACCTCCAAGGTCCCTTCCAACTTTATTACTATTATAATTATTATTATTACATTCCTGCAAGAACATATATTAGTCCTGTGTCTTTACTTACCATCTCTACCCACACGTTCGTGGTGAGAGCCTCGTCGATCTCGTTCTGGAAAAGCACAAAATGGGATTACAGGCAGTCTCGATTTACGGCAGTTCACTTAATGACGGTTCAAAGTTACGACGGTCTCAGAAAAAAGGGACTCGTGAGCCATCTTTTGAATTCTGACCGTCGCTCCATCCCTGCACTCACATCTCCGTAACGGCGGCACCGCCACAGGCTGGTATTTACGATAGCTGCAACATCCGGGTGTCGCGTGATTTGCAACCTTCCCAGCTGGCTTCCCACAAGCAAAATTTTCTTAAGGGCACCTAGTTCACTTAATGTCCATGCAATTTGCTTAGCGACTGCAGCGATCTGGTTAACAATCGCAGTAAAAATTCTGCCCATCACCACGTCTGAAATCTTGGCAAGAACATTGCTGTGACTCCTCCAAGCAATCACTAGACTTCAACGCTGATGATTGACATTCGGCCAATCACCCGGAGACAATGAGTTCTAGTTCCACCTTAGGACTGAAAGCCCACTGGGTGACTTTGGGCCAATCACCAGGAGATTGTGAGTTCTAGTTCTGCCTTAGGCATGAAAGCCCACTGGGTGACTTTGGGCCAATCACCAGGAGATTGTGAGTTCTAGTCCTGCCTTAGGCATGAAAGTCCACTGGGTAACTATGGGCCAATCACCAGGAGATTTTGAGTTCTAGTCCTGCCTCAGCCATGGAAGCCCACTGGGTGACTTTGGGCCAATCACCAGGAGATTGTGAGTTCTAGTCCTGCCTCAGCCATGAAAGCCCACTGGGTAACTATGGGCCAATCACCAGGAGATTGTGAGTTCTAGTTCTGCCTCAGCCATGAAAGCCCACTGGGTGACTTTGGGCCAATCACCAGGAGATTGTGAGTTCTAGTCCTGCCTCAGCCATGAAAGCCCACTGGGTGACTATGGGCCAATCACCAGGAGATTGTGAATTCTAGTCCTGCCTTAGGCATGAAAGCCCAGTGGGGGACTTTGGACTAATCACCAGGAGCCAGGGAGGTCTAGTCTCATCGTAAGCATAAAAGTCAGCTGGGTGACCTTGGGCCAATCGGGGGAAGTGGTAGTAGGAATTTGTGTTGGGTATGTTTGCCACCTTGAGTTATTTATAAAAATAATAAAGATGGGATACAAATAAATAGAACAATTAGTGTGTGGAGAACTTCAAGGAAGGAGATGAAGATGACCTCAGACTGATGTGCAGGAGGTGTAAATTCTCCAGCCACAGAGAACATCCTGTGCCTCCGTTTTCCTGTTCTTAGAGCAGGACTTCAACCTCCAGAATTCCTCAGCCAGCCATGGCTCAAGTTGGAAGTCCGCAGGTCATTAAAGGGGCCATAGTTGCCAGCTCAGGAATTCTGGGAGTTGAAGTCCACAGCTCTTAAAGGGGCCATAGTTCCCCCACCCCTCTCTTAGATGTTGCATCTCTTTCTGGAGACTTTGAGAAGGAAAAGGGTGGAACGTTCTTGGCCCTTCCTGAAAATCCAGGAGAAGGGATGACAACACCGTTCCTTACCAGGGAGATCAGGTTGGTGAGGGTAACCTTTAGAGAAACATTTACAATGTCCCCCTTGTCTGCAGCAGGGCGAAAATTGCGGTTATAATCGGCCATCAGAACGTTGAAAAGGTGTTCCTCCTCATTCCGGCTCAGGACAACTAGAAAGGAAGAAAGAGGGATGTTAATAATAATAATAGTAAAGTTGGAGGGGACCTTGGAGGTCATCTAGTCCAACCCCCTGCTCAGGCAGGAAACCCTATACCATTTCAGACAAATGGCTGTCCAGGCTCTTCTTAAAAACCTCCAGTGTTGGAGCATTCACCGCTTCTGGAGACAGGTTGTTCCACTGGTTAATTGTTCTAATTGTCAGGAAGTTTATCCTCAGTTCTAGGTTGCTTCTCTCCTTGATTAGTTTCCATCCGTTGCTTCTTGTCCTGCCTTCAGGCACTTTGGAAAATAGCTTGACTCCCTCTTCTTTGTGGCAGCCCCTGAGATACTGGAACACTGCTATCATGTCCCCCCTTGTCCTTCTCTTCATTAAACTAGACATACCCAATTCCAGCAGCCGTTCCTGATATGCTTTAGCCTCCAGTCCCCTAATCATCTTTGTTGCTCTTCTCTGTACTCTTTCTAGAGTCTCAACATCTTTTTTACATCGCGGTGACCAAAACTGGACGCCATATTACCAAGACCTTGTAAAATGGTATTAACACTTCACGTGATTTTGATTCTATCCCTCTGTTAATGCAACCTAGCACTGTGTTGCCCTTTTTGGCAGCTGCAGCACACGGCTGGCTCATATTTAGGTGATTGTCCACTAGGACTCCGAGGTCCCTCTCACAGTTACTACTATTGAGCAAGGTACCCCCTATACTATACCTGTACATTTGGTTTTTCTTGCCTAAATGTAGAACCTTACTTTTTTCACCACTGAATTTCATTTTGTTAGATAGCGCCCAGTGTTCAAGTCTGTCCAGATCCTTCTGTATCTTAAGCCTGTCTTCTGGAGTGTTGGCTATTCCTGCCAGCTTGTTGTTGTCTGCAAATTTGATGGGTTCCCCATCTATCCCCTCGTCCAAATCATTGATGAAGATGTTCAAGAGCCCTGGGCCCAGAACAAAGCCCTTGGGGACCCCACTACCCACTTCCCTCCATGTAGATGCGGTTCCATTGAGGAGCACATGCTGAGTACTGCCGGTCAGCCAGCTACGAATCCATCTGGTGATGATGCTGTCTTACCCACATTTTTCTATCTTGTTAATCAATGTTAACAACATTGGGCCAATCACCAGGAGACAGTGAGTTCTAGTCCCACCTTAGGCATGAAAGCTGGCTGGGTGACTTTGGGCCAATGACCAGGAGACGGTGAATTCAAGTCCTGCTTTAATAAAGTAAGCAGGCTAGGTGACTTTACGGCAATTGGCAGGAGACGGGGAGTTCTAGCCCCACCTTAGGCATGAAAAATGGTTGGGTGCCTGGCTGAGGAATTCTGAGAGTTGAAGTCCACAAGTCATCAAAGGGCCAAGTTTGAAGACCCCTGTCTTAAATCTAACAAACAAAATGGAGGCTGGCTGAGGAATTCTGGGAGTTGAAGTCCACAAGTCATAAAAGGGTCAAGTTTGAAGACCCCTGTCTTAAACCTAACAAACAAAATGGAGACTGGCTGAGGAATGCTGGGAGTTGAAGTCCACAAGTCATCAAAGGGCCAAGTTTGAAGACCCCTGCTCTATATAAATGATAGATTTAAATGATTTGAAGCCAGTGATGGTTCGTCAAAAGCTGTCCCAGCTGCCTCCTCTCTGAAGCCACAGATTGTATAAAATCTCGTATGTCCCTTATAGACCAAGCTAGCGCAGAATTTAAAAAAGGACTGGTGACCTGAATTAGCTTAACTTGGTTACTGGATTTAGTGTGGAATAATGAACAATCAGCAGAATAATGATGTGTCTCCATAATTACTGGAATAGTGCTGTGTTAGTAGTATGTGACTAACCTAATGCGCATTGCACTTGGATACAATGTATGTAGCAAACTCTCCATTGTATGCCCGTGAGAAACGAACCTAATGTATTACAATGTGTATTTCAATGTGTATTTCTTTGTTTCTGAGGGGGAAAAAAAGGAAAGTATAAAACTGAAGTCTGAACCCACCCTCGGGATTCAGAATTTCTGGTTGCTACTGCTTCTGAACCTGTGCAATAAATCTCTCTGCTAAAACCCTCTGGAATTCGTAAGAGTCCTTTAGTTTTCCATAAGAGATTAATTCGCAGTTCACCAGACCGTAAGCCAACTGAACAATCTGGATTTGCAGAGCGTATGAAGCCACTCAAAACAGCCTAATAATCAGGCGTTAACCAAGCGTTGCAAGCTGAACAAATGTCCCAGCCAGGTTGGTAACTAACCTGGGTTTTCAGATAATGTTTGACCGCAGTCCCTGATTAAACTAATTCTGATGCCTCTTATGAAATGATGTTCTGAATCTCTCAGGAAAGCCATCCTCCTCCCAGGTTTTATATTCTGATGTGAATGCATTTGCCAGGCCTTTGCCTGATCTGTCACATGCTCTTTATCTTAAATATGTGACAACGTTTTTGTTTGTTTGTTTTTATGAAAAAGGAAAACTCGTATGCCTCACCATATATCTCTCTGTTGCTTTGTGGCTTGATCATGTTTGGTCTGCCCTAACACATAAACACAACAACAGATTAATGTCTGGGCCATTTCAGGTCTAAAATGAGCATTTAATTAGGTAAGTGGCCGGTCTGTTTTCGGTCCAAATTGATTAATAATAAACAGCTCCCCAGTCTGTGCCTGAAAACCTCCCTATCTAGTGCACAGTTTGTTGCCGGGCTAATGGCTTTTTTTTAATACTTTCCATTATCAAATTATTAGTGAACAGTCACCACCCAATAAAGCCTGGGGAGAAACTTTGACAGATTAACCTTCATTAGGATAATGGCCGCTGCTTGTCATGGGGGTGTGGGAGTCCCAAATTTTGTTGTGGGCAAATGCCAGCCCTGATATGCCACCCACACTCTGGTGTTCTCTCTGACTGTGGTCATCTTAAGGCAGTGTATCTAAACTGCTGTGGGAAGTCAGCCCACCCCCCCCCAGAGAAGGAAATATTAAAAGGGCAGAAAAATATATTTCCTCAAAGGATCTTAAAGAGGCAGAAAAGCATGCCCAGTTTTTCTTAATAGCCTCAAGTCTCCCTCCCCTGAGCAGAAACCAGCTCTGTAGAAATGCAGATGTAAATAATCCAGGAAGCCCCCAGCTAGAAGATTAAGAAGACAAAGACACCTAAAATTTACATACCCCACCCAAACTCTAAGACAGGACATAATATGATTAACTCAGATTCCAAAGGGCACACCCAGACTCAGGTCAGAATACATGACACAGGAAATACAAACAGGAAACAATTCCAAACAAAAGGCTCCAGAGGGTATAAAAACCCATTCCCTACATGTGCTCTTCTCTCTTTTCTTCCAGAGCCATTTTCCTGTCTGGCTCTCCTCTTCAATAAACTGCAACCTTCTTTCTAAAGCAGTTGCCACGTTGTTTACTCCCGGCTTGGACTGAGCCATGATGAAGACTTTTCCTTCAACACTACGGCACCTTTAAGACATGTGGACTTCAACTCCCAGAATTCCTCAGCCAGCAAATACAGAGAGTCCTCAACTTAGTTTAGTGACCTTTCAAAATAAACCTTAGTTTGGTGCTTATTCAAAGTTACAACGGCACTGGAAAAAAGTAACTTATGCACGTTTTTTTACACCTCCATAGCAGCATTCCTATGTGGTCACGTGATCAGAATTCAGACGCTTGGCAACTGACTCGTATTTATGACAGTTGCAGTGTTCCCGGGATCATGTGATGCCCCCTTTTGCAACTTTCTGACAAGCACACTCAATGGGGGAAGCCAGATTCACTTAACAACCGTGTTGCTAGCTTAACCGCTGCAATGATTCACTTAACAACGGTGGCAAGGAAGGTTGTAAAATGGAGCCAAACTGACATGACGGCTGTCTCACTTAGCGGGGGAAATTTCGGCCTCCGTTGTTGTAAGTCAAGGACGACACTACTTGTAATCGTCTGCCTCTAAAATCAGAAGCATTTGGGCTGATCAAGTTTTGGTGCCCAAGTAGATTGCTGGATTGTGTCAGTCGGCATTCAAAGTTCACCGGAAACCTATCGCAAAGAAATCTTATCCTTGGGAAGAGGAAACCGCTAAATTCCAGAGTGAATGGCTAGTGGCTTATGCAAACAATGAATTGTCAGGCCAGGCGTGTCCATGTGTTAAGACAGTCAAGCAGATCTTATAAATAGCAACTGCAAGGGAGACACAGGATCCTGGATCGAATTGTCGTAGTAATATTTCATCTGTGAATTTCTAATCAACTGAATTGTTCCATCACTGGAGGTTTTTAAGAAGAGACTGGACAGCCATTTGTCCAAAATGGTACCGGGTCTCCTGCTTGAGCAGGGGGCTGGACTAGACAACCTCCAAGATCCCTTCCAACTCTGTATTCTGCTTCCTTCCTTCCTTCCTTCCTTCCTTCCTTCCTTCCTTCCTTCCTTCCTTCCTTCCTTCCTTCCTTCCTTCCTTCCTTCCTTCCTTCCTTCCTTTCTCCCTCCCTCCCTCCCTCCCTCCCTCTCTCCTTTCTCCATCACTGGAAGTTTTTAAGAAGAGACTGGACAGCCACTTGTCCGAAATGGTAGAGGGTATAAGGACTATTCGTAAAGTCTTTCTCTTTAGCTGGTCTTTTAAGGATATGTTTAGGAATCACCCAAATGGTAGACAAAAATCCCCTTCCTTTAGTGCAAGGGTAGGCAACCTTGGCCCTTTTATGACTGGGGGACCTCAACTCCCAGAATTCCTGAGCCAGTGTGGAGGAACTATGGCCCCTTCATGACTCGTGGACTTCAACTCCCAGAATTCCTGAGCCAGCATGGGGGAAGTATTACCCCTTCATGACTCGTGGACTTCAACTCCCAGAATTCCTGAGCCAGCATGGGGGAACTATGGCCCCTTCATGACTCGTGGACTTCAACTCCCAGAATTCCTGAGCAGCATGGGGGAACTATAGCCCCTTCATGACTCGTGGACTTCAACTCCCAGAATTCCTGAGCCAGCATGGGGGAACTATGGCCCCTT